TCTATTTCCTGGCTGCCAAGAGCTGAGCAGCTTTTGATTTGGCTGACCAATGACTGAGACTTCTGAAATTAAGAGCCCCAAATGAACTTTTCCAACTCTAAATTATTTTTGCCAGGTATTTTGGTCACAGGGACAATACACTAACATAATCTACAAAGCTTCTGAACTGCAGTCTTTTTTAAACACAAAACTACCCCTCCAGCTCCTGTCTCCTTCAGGTTCAATTCTTGTTGTGACTTCTGTTTCCTGAACTATTTTGAGTAGTTCTCAGTTCCTGCTTTCAAAAGAGGTAACATAAGATTAAAATGTACAAGAGCATGACCACAAATCTGGGATACCTACCTGAACATTGCTGAAATTATCCAAGGGAAAAATAATGAAAAAGAGTGGTCAGTCCTAGAGATACAGATTGAGGATCAACAGATTAGTCTATAGAAGTCCTGTGGAATGAGTAAAATTATGGTTCTAAAATGTAGAGAGGATGAAAGAGTAGTCTTTTAAGGGTACTATAAAGAGAAAAGAACCAGGAAAAAGGATTGATAAGAAATAGCTGGATAGGGAGAAGAACCAAGAGGGAAAGCCATTATACAGACCAAAAAAGGGAAAAGGAGTGACCAGCTTGGTTATTTGTTAACAAACCCTCAAATAAGTTGAGAAATAGAAAGGTTCCATTAGACTTTCAGTTCCAAGGTCAGGACGGCCTTTTTGCAAGCAGTTTCTGTGATGTCACAACAGCAGGAACCAGTGGTCAAGAGTAAATGGGACACAACATAGCCGAGGCCCAGGTAGAAGGTGGCTTGCCCTGCCCTGCACAGCACCGTCTAGTCTCTGGCTTTTGTTCGGCAACACAAGAGGAAAAGATAACAGAGTAAATAAAATGCCATGAGATTAAGTTAAATTGAATGAAGATGCATTTCATTAAAATTTACATCATAATCATTTCTAAGTGTGACAGAGAGGTGAAACACTAGAAACAGTAAATATACAGTGTTCTGTATGGAATTTGGCTAGGAATGTTTCACTTGAACTCTGAGCTCTAATAGGCAGTGATGATAGCTCATAAACTGTAGTTCATCAACATGAAAATAAAAATATCTTCAAGAAATAAAACAGCAATTGACTTCTTTATTTCAGGATCTTTATTATAAATGTAATACAAGTTGATTGTAAATTTAAGAAACCTAGAAATACAAAATGTCATCCTTGCTTCTATTTTTTCCTCATTCCTCACCTCTCCCCAGAGATCACATTTTCTAGACACATTGAAATATATATTTGCATTCAAAGATATGAAATATATATGGATCTCACCATTTTTTAAACACAATATGTATAATCATGACTAATATTAAAATATTAAATAATCAGAGTGATGGGACATGAAATGGATGCCAATGGTGAGCTCTAGGCTCCCCAATGTATCATATTTTCTTTAACCAGTTCAGACAGAAGTGCCAGAGTGCCAGACTGTGGCATGGTAGTGAAAGCTACAACTCAGTATCCTGCCATGGTAGCATCTCCACTGGAGACACCTTGTTAGGTCGCTTGGACACATTGCTAGCTATACAGGCGCCAATCTTCACTTTATGACCCTCCAAAATTTTTCTATGAAGCACATGATATGCTTTAGTAAATTTACTTTTTACGAGAAACTAACCAAAGCAATTTAGGACTTTTTCAAGAGAAACAGGTATATTAAAAGAACTAAAAGTCAGGTTTTCATCTCATTTAAACCAAGACTTTTAAAGACCAGCAAACTGCATTCTGTGGCCATCTGTAAGGAAACCATCTAATCCCTCAGGCTGGTACTATTCTCTCCTCTTTTCCACATAGATTCAACATGTAGCAGCTGTTGGTTGCCAGACTCTAGGTGGAGACTGATCAATGATTAGGACAAATATTTTGAACAAAACAACTACTTTCCTTTAGCTCTAAATTTTTCCTTAAATAGTTATTATTCTTACTTTAGATTTTTCTTTTGTAACTTAACAAGAAAAAGCAATCAAGAAAAAATAAAGCAAGAACATCATTTGCATATATCTGCTCTGGAGGAAAAATATATTTTTACAAGTTTTTTCTTGATTACATCAGCAAAAGGCATTTCAAACACAGTGTATTCAAATTAGTGCTTCAGGTCTTGATTATTTTTGAAGTCTCCATAAAATATTATTTAAAGAAGGAAAATTCCTAAGGTCTCCCAAATATATCAACTATGCATTTTTATATCAACTGTGCAACTTAACATCTTTAATGTTAAGAAAATAAACTTTTTAATTTTTGACATAATAAAATACACTGAGAAATATCATATATATGAAGAAAGAGGGAAGGTAACATTCCAAATGTGGAAATATTTCATATGTTCATTGTCTTTGGTTTGATTTATGCTTAACTACGGTGCATTCTAGGAGCAGCTAATTTCCATATAAAGTGTCGCTTCTTTCAATTTCACTATGACTTGTCTACAGTGGAAGCTTTGATTTGTGTGCCCTAGGCTAGATCAGAGTAATGCATAATTTTCTTTAAGTTCTTTTCTGTCATGCACAATCAGTGAGCTCCAGCACCAATTATAACATGGATGTTTAGAAAGACATTACCCAAAAGGGGAAAATATAAGATAAATTGCATCAAGAAAGGTTTGTGAATCAAAGAAAAATGATCAGAGAGAACCTGATGGCAATCCTCCTGAGTTATATGCATTTGGACATTAAGGTGCAATGAACTTTGGTCTGTTCTGACTATTATAACAACTATTTCAAGCCTAATAGCAGAAATGAAATATCAAAGTATCTGCCATCATTCAGCCCTGTGTGGGGTGATGGGTACTCCACTGGTAACAGTCTTCCTTGTAGCACCAAAGGCCGGGTTCATGTGACATGTGCTTTGCACAATAGCAGAAGGCCTCACCTCCAAATTATTTCCCCTCCAAGATTCTTTCGTGAGATTTGCTCCCTCAATTCCTTTTGAAGATGTGTGCTTTTGAAGTAAATTAAGGAATTCTATCACCTAAAGGAAAAAATCATAGTCACACAATATCAGTCTATGCTCTAACCCAATTTCCTTATCTGATTACCATTTAATGGAAAGAGTGGCAAACTAAGAATCCAGAGACCTGGGTTCTAGTCCCTGACTTGTGGCTGTGCTCCGTGAAACAAATCACTTCTCTTTGATCACAGTGTCTTCATCTCTGAAATGATGAGATGAACATGAAGTTCCCTCGCAGTTTGAAAATTCAGCTTTGTGACTAGATTATCACCCTTATGATTTAGTATGCTTAAGAAAAGGGAAACAGGTGAACTAAATGTCGATGAGTTTAGATCTGAAAGAATGTAAATAAGAGGTGAGTCATTTCCAGACCGGGAGCAAGGAAGGATTTATTAGGGTGAAGACTGTACTGAAAAAATTAAAATTGGGAAATAAAACAAACTTCTGCTTCTACATCTTGAGTCATCATAGATTTTTAAAATATTTTTCCTTTTGGTAACATTAAAAATATTGGAAACTGTTTGACTTCTTTAAAAAAAAACTCTTTATTGAGTTGGATTTTTAAAGTAGGATTATTATAAAGCGGAAACTACATGTCCCCCAACCTGATTATTGTGCATCTACAAGATAATCATTGCTAATAGCTTGGAATTTCCTCTTGAAGACTGTTTCTCCATGACCAAACAATTTTATAAGGATGAATACATATATGTATGTATATATATATACATATATATATATACACACACACATATATACACTCATGTACATACATATGCACATATATAATGGGTATATACATACATGTGTCTGCCCCCCATGTACATCTGACTACCCCAATTTGCTTCTTTTCAGTGAACACTATAGAAGCATGATCCTCTCTCCCTATTACAAGGAGTACATGTATCTCTGACACATTTTAGCAAGCTTCTCTACAGGATGGATTTCAGAAAAGTGAGGTGGCAAAATGAGACACAAGTACTTTAAAATATGTCCGTGATGACCTTCCTTGGCTCAGTTTTCACAGAGCTTGCAATACAGTGTTGGTGTTTTCCAGGGAGGGAGCAGGAATGAGAGAAGGAAGTGACGTAGGGAAAGAGGGCGAGCAGGTGCTAAGATGCCTTATTGAGCTGGCTGCACTGCTTTAGGGGGCTGGTTGTTTAATACCAAAGGAATTTTGGAGAAACAAAAGAACTATGTCTCTAGACCGTCCGAGAAGCCATATAAAATGTCTTTCTTCTACAGGGAGAGTGATAAGGGAAAAGCATTGTCCATTAGTTCTATCCCTCACTCATCAAAGATTTGCCCCATGGCTGGGCAGCTGGTGCATTCCTGTAATGACGGCAGCTCTGGGAGGCTTAATCAGGAGAATTGTGAGTTCAAAGCCAGCCTTAGCAATTTAGCAAGGCTGAACTCATTGAGACCCTGTTTCTAAATAAAATATAAAAAATGGGCTGGGGTGTGGCTCAGTGGTTAAGGGCCCCTGGGTTCAAACCCTCCTGCCAAAAATTTTAAAAATGCCCCATGGAATGGTCACTCCCCCGCAGTCCAATCAACACACCTGTGAGCCCTTGACCACATTCCTGCATCCTGCTTCCTGCAGAGTCTGACTGTTGTGGGTCATCCAAGAAGCCCTGGGAGAAGCAGGAGGTAAGTCAACTTGCTCCCATGTGAAGCCCAGCTGAGCTCACTGAATCACCAGAGCTATGATAGGAATAAGACACAGATGAGGTTGAGCAGAGTCGAAGTGTTACATTAAAGGTTTCAGATACACTAACAACCTGTCACACAAAACTGCACCAATGCACACTTCCAGCAATCATGCAAGTGTCTGCTTCTACCCTTTAGCAGCAGTGGATATTGTCAATACATATTGCCAATATGAAGGTGAATGGAGGTTTATATCCTTCTTATTTTCATTTCTGTATTATGAGAGTTGAACATCATTCCAGATGCTTCCTAATGTTAATTTATCATCTGTGAAGTGTCCATACTTGGGCCTTTTTTTCCCTATTAGGTTGTTCTTCAAGGCTTCAAGTTTTAAAACCAAGATTATTCTGGGAAGTTCATGTTCATGGAGCTTTGTAAGTACTCTCCTTTTTAAGTATTTTATATAATTGTAAATACAGATATGCTGTTTTCCAATCTCCCCATTTCTAGTATTTAACGTGAACTGATGATAGCAGTTAATCACATACATGATCTTTGTATTAGCAAAGTTTTCTTTTATTTTTCAGTATGAGAGTCAAAACACATCCTGTTCCACAGGTAAGAACATACATGCTTTTTACTTAAGGATTAATGTTTATTCATAAATGCTTTCCAGAACATACTTAAGTTTTAAGCTCTTCCTTTTATTCTTTGTTCCTTGAGGTAACAACTGCATATACTTTTTTTTTCCTGATAGAGAAATCTACTATCCTGTCATAGATCAACTCCATTCTTATTTGCTGCTTGTTAAAAGGCTTTCCTATGACCTGCTCACGATCTCACTTCAGATATAGTAGTAAAACTGCCACATATAATCTTGTCATTCAATTATCAACCGAGGTCTTTTTTGTTTTTATCCCTTGTTCTTCAAACCAAAATTGTGTTCTCTTCTGCTATTTCCATTGTGATTGTAAAGGGTTAATTACCTGGAGTTTCAAGTGCAGCATAATTCTTGCAGCAATATTGTGGGCCAAAAATTTTGGCTTTGACACAGAGGAGACGACCCCTCCCCACTCTAGGTATCAACTTAGAATAAGGGTCATTCCATTTTTCTTGCCTACTAATTGTTCAAGAATGAGCTCTTGTCCTAATTCTGACTAATGGGACAGTGGGAAGTCATGCTGAGGGTCTTCTAGGAAGGAGCTTTCTCTTTTCTATGTGCACTGTCCTGTCTGGATGCAATGCCTGGGGTGGTGCAGTTAGCTCAGTGCTAATTTGAGGCTGCAGCCAATATTGAGAATGCAGAGTGAGAATATGGAAAGAACCTGGGTCTCTGATGATGTCCTTCAGCTGTGGAATCAATTGACCCTGAAACCTGTCCTACCTCTGGATTTCCTGTGAGACACACAGTTTCTTCTTGCTGAAACCCATTAAATATTTGGGTTGCTCTTCTTACAACCCAAAGCACCTAACTAAATTAGCTCCTTTCTGCCCGAGGCCAGAAGGATAGAACTAGTCTGCAGAAATATCTGAGTACCGTTTTTTTTTTTTCATCATCTAGTGGAATCTGGCATAACACAAACCTTTCAAAGCAAAGAGTCTTTACACTTTTCCAAGATAAGGCCATGAGATTTCACTCTGTCACTTACAGGCTGTGTTGCCTAGGCATATCACTTAAAGTCTCTGAGTTCCAGGTTTTTTGCAACATGATAATAAATATCATTATTCTTTGTACAGTGTTAAATAATATATTGTATATTTTGCATTCTACATATGCCATTGTTATTTCTCATTTGCACCATAGGTTAATATTCAGGAAAATATCATTATTATAAAGTAAGATAATAAACAAATATCTTACAGGTTTTTTTTAAAGAGGATAGAGTAAGAGAAGTGAAAAAACATAAAGAATTTATTACTTTTAATGTTTAATATCATTACTAATAATAATTTCTTCAAATTTAAGATTTTGTCAATCACTAGACCTTTATTTAAAAATGCTGCCAATTAAATTATACTTTACATTTACAATCACTATTTTTGGCTTCAACATTTTCCCCAAGCATTCCATGGAATTTGGCAGTACTTCAGTTACACTCATTGGCTATGATAGATAATCTTTTGTGTGTTTTTTAGGAAGGTGGGAGAGACATAATTGAGCTTTATCTACTGATGGAGTCTTCCATTGTTAAGTCCCATGAGGTTTTTGGTTGTTTCTTTGCAAGTAAATGGAGTTGTGGATATTTTGCCCACAGTGAATATTTCCTCCCTACATATCTAGTTTATGCCATACTAATTTTGTTTCCATTCACATCTTCATGCCCAAAACCTTTTTATTTCAATGTCAAATTATACTATAATCTTTAAAAATACATTTAAAGTGACAAGCCCAACATGTGTATTACCAACCACACAGCATCAACTCTAAGTTGTCAAATATGAAAATGTGTCTTAGAATAGCTGAAATAGGGTCTTCGTGAAAGGGCTAAGAGAAAAGGAGGAGACAAATAATAAGGATATAGTCAAATTCTCCCAAGTTTCCATATTTTTCCATATTTTTTTATTTGTTCTAATTAGTTATATATGACAGTAGAGTGTATTTTGACATATTAGACATATATGGAATATAACTTCTTATTCTTCTGGTTGTGCACGATGTAGAATTACACTGGTCATGTAATAATATAAGCACATAGGATGGTTATGTCCATTTAACTCTACTGTCTTTTCTATTCCCATTCCCCCTCCTTCCCTTCATTCTCTTTGCCTAGCCCAAATTATTTCTATTCTTTCCTAATCAACCCCCTTATTGTGAATTAGCAACTGAATATCACAGAAAACATTCATCCTTTAGTTTTTGGAGATTGGCTTATTTCACTCAGCATGATATTCTCCAGTTGCATCCATTCACTGGAAAATGCCATAATTTCATTCTTATTTATGGCTGAGTAATATTCCATTGTGTATATATACCAAATTTTCTTTATCCATTCATCTGTTGAAGGGTACCTAGGTTGGTTCCCTAGTTTAGCTGTTATGAATTGAGCTGCTATAAATATTGATGAGGCTGTTTCACTGTAGTATGCTGATTTTTAAGTCCTTTAGGAATGAACCTAGAAGTGGGATAACTGGGTTATCTTCTATTTAATTGCTTGAAATTGGTCTGTTTAAATTGTGCATGTCCTTTTGTTTCAGTTGGGGTAGGTCATATATCTCTAGAAATTTGTCGATATCTTCAAGATTTTTGAGTATAAATTTTCAAAATAGCTTCTGATTATCTTCTGTATTTTAGTAGTGTCTATTGTGATATTTCCTTTTTCATCAAAAATTTTAGTTATTTGAGTTTTCTCTCTTTTTCTTCATTAGCTAAGGGTTTATTAATTTTATTTATTTTTTTCAAAGAACCAACCTTTTGTTTTGTCAATTTTTAAAATTATTTCTTTTGTTTCAATTTCATTGATTTCAACTCTGATATTAATTATTTCCTCTATTCTACTATTTTTGGTCTTGATTTGTTCTTTTTTTGTAGGGATTTGAGATGGAATATTAGGTTATTTATTTGACTATTTTCTGTTTTTTTAATAAGTGAGTTCAATGCAATGAACTTTCCTCTGAGAACTGCCTTCATAGTGTCCAAGAGATTTTGATATGTTGTATTGCTATTCTCATTTACTCTTAAGTATTTTTTTTAAATTTCATCCTTATTTCTTCTGCTATTCCTTGATCACTCAATAGTGTATTATCTGGTCTCCAAGTGTTAGAGTATCTTCTATTTCTATTTTATTGTTGATTTCTAATTTCATTCCATTATGATCTAATAGAATGCAAGGTATTATCTTTTTTTATTTTTGTATTTGCTAAGAGTTTCTTTGTGGCATAAGATATGGTATATTTTAGAGAAGGATCTGTGTATTGCTGATAAGAAACTGTATTCAATCATTCATGGATGAAATACTCTATATGTCTGTTAAGTCTATATTATTGATTGTATTATTTAGTTTTATAAATTGTTTGTTTAGTTTTTGTTTGGAGGAACTATCCAATAGGGAGGGAGATGTGTTAAAGTCAACCCATATTATTGTATTGTGGTCTAATTTATTCTTGAAGTTGAGACGGGTTTATTTAATGTACATAGATGCTCCATTGTTTGGGGCATAAATATTTATAATTGTTATGTCTTGTTGATGTATAATTCCTTTAAGCAGTGTGAAATTTCCTTCTTTCTCCCTTATGATTAAGTCTGGCTTGAAGTCCACTTTATCTGATATGAGGACAGAAACCCTGGCATATATACGACATCCATGTGAATGATATGCTTTTTTCTCAGTATGTGGATGTCTTTGCCTATGAGGTGAGTCTCTTGGAGACAGTGTATTGTTGGACTTGTTTTTTAATTCAATCTGCCAATCTATGTCTTTTGATTGATGAGTTTAGGCCATTTATATTCCATGTTATTATTGAGATATGATTTTTATTCTCTGTCATTTTACTTCTGGTTTTCAATTTGAGTTAGTTTCTCCATTGATTCACTATTCTTTTAGTGTAGTTCCTCCTTTTGCTGCTGTTTACTTTTATTTTTCATTTCTTCTTGATGAAATATCTTATTGAGTATGTTTTGTAGTGCCGGTTTTCTGGTTGTGAATTCTTTTGTTTATCATAGAAGGTTTTCATTTCATCATCAATTCTGAAGCTTAATCTTTCTGAGTATAGAATTCTTGGTTGGCACTTCCATTTTCTTTTAGAGCTTGGGATATATTATTCCAAGACTTCCTAGCTTTGAGGGTCTGGGTTGAGAAATAAGCTGAGATCCAGACTGGTTTCCCCCTAAATGTAATATGACATTTTTTGTCTGGGCAGCCTTTAAAATTCTATCCTTATTCTGTATGTTAAACATTTTTATAATAATGTGCCTTGTTGTGTGTCTGTTGTAATTTTGTACATTTGGGGTCCTATGAGCCTTTTATATTTTATTTTCCATTTCATTCTTTAGATTTAAGGAATTTTCTGATATTATTTCATTGAAAAGATTGTATATGCCTTTGTTTTTTTTATCTCTGTGCCTTCATCTATCCTGATAAATCTTAAACTCAATCTTTTCTTGTTATCCTATAATTCTTGGAAGTTCTGTTCATAATTTCTTAACATCTTCTTTCCATGGTCAACTTCATTTTCAAGATTATATATTTTGTCTTCATTGCTTGACTTTCTATCTTCCAAGTAGTCTAGTCTTTTAGTGATGCTTTTCATTGAATTTTTAATTTGGTTTATTGATTCTTTCATTTTGAGGATTTCTGCTTGATTTCTTTTCAGAATTTCTCTCTCTTTATTGAAGTGATCTTTAATCTCCTGAATTTTATCTCTGATTTCACTTCTTACATCTTTACCTCGTGGATCACTTTAACTATGTACATTCTAAACTCCTTTTCTGACGCTTCTTCCACTGTGGTGCCAATGGATTCTATTATTGTAGCATCTTGGTTTGTTTGGGGTGATTAGTCCCTTGCTTTTTCATGTTGTTTGTGTGTTTACCCATTTAGCAGTGTGGATCTGAGGGAGTACACTTTCTACCCTGTAGACTTATAGTGTCCCTGAAGGTTTCTAGTACCTTGCCTTTAAAGGGGAGATAAATAATAACAGCAACCAATGCAAACAATATATAGCTTTAAACCAAATAGCTCCTACTAAGATCTACAGTTTTGTCACAGTTAACAGAAATAATATGTTCAATTATTGCCTACAATGAAAATGGTGAGTTTGCAAAAGGGTTTACAATTTCAAATAGTGGACAAAGAGAACAGAAGTGGTATAGGATATGATGTTTATGAGGAAGGAGGAGAAAAGATAGATGTAAAACATTACAGGAAGAATAAAAGTGGCAATAATACAGGCTGGCTGTTAGCAGAAGAAAAGAGAAAGAGAATCAAGGGAAACAGATGAGAGAAAAAATTATATAAAGTAAAAATTTTTAAAAATATGTATATAAAGAAATATAAAAATATAAATACAACAAAATATAAAAATATAAATATAAATAAAAAACAACACTGAAATATAATATTCAGACATCCCAGTCCTTAACTGATGCATGAAAAATAGTTGGCTTCTAAAATGGTAGAAATGTGAAAGAAAAAAGAAAAAGAAAAGGAAAAAAATCTTTAAAAATTGAACAATTATTTCCATTGGAGTTCAAAAGTTTCTCAACTTCCCTTCTCAGCAGTTAGGTAGGGGTTATCTGCAGTATGATGTTTGCTCCACCCTCAAGGTGGGTGGGGTTGCTAGGGTGTGAGGGTTAATCCTGGGGGTGGAACTCCTGGAGATGTAGTGTAGGTTTAGGTATGCTCCAGTCTCTTCCCTCAATGCCAATTGGTCTGGTGATTTTAACTCAGTGTACCTCCAGGGCCCAGCAATTGCCAGTCCACACTGAAGTCTGCCTCCCAGGATCTCCTCTGGGTTCTACTCAGAGGAGATCCTGGTGTAGGAGCTTGTTCATATCCCACTATGTTGCCTGTAGACCCCACAATTCCTTGTCTCTGATTCAGTCTCCAAACTCAATCTCTCCCACCTTTGCCCTTGTCAAGTGCTTCTCTCCCAGCTGGTATTGCAAGCTGTCAGACTGAAGGGTGGGAAGCCAAGTGGGTTTCTGTGGCCAGTATTTCCCTGTGTAAACTTCTCTCCATGCTTGATTTTCTCCTGTCACTTAGGCACACTCTCTGTCATCCAGTGGGTTTTTTGAGCCAGACTTGGGTCTTCCAGAAATCAGCTCCCTCAGATGCTAGTCCCTGCACCATGGCTGCAAAAAGTTTCCTTCTGCTGTCCTCCAAACACCACTGGATGAGATAGTGGCTTCTTTCCCACAGAAGGATATTGCGCAGTGCACATTACTGTTTATTTAGGCAGTGACTCTGATCTCTAAACTCTCCATTCCCTGACATGCCTCTGTTGTCCTGACAATGGGGGTTCCTTTAATTCCCATATTGCTTTACTGTATTCATGGACGGACCATTCTGATTCGTGCCTCCAGTTGCTGATGCAAATATAGGGCTAAGGCTTTTTCTCTTGTTTTGTTATATTCAATCTCTTGAGTCTCCTGTTTTGAGTGTCCAGTATTAGATTCCAGTAAAGTCCCCCCGCCCCATTCTTGTTCATTCACCCACCTTGCTAAAAAGCTGCCTGTCTGCTTTTCTTGGTTTCACGCCACAGGGCTGCCAGGGAAGCAACCTCTTTATTCTATCTTCCTGAACCCTCTCATGCTTTTGTCAAACAATTGTATAAGAATATTATGAACTCTAGATAGAGCAAAGGGGTGGGAGGAGTAGGGAGGGTGCATGGGGGTAGAAAAGATGGTAGAATGAGATGAACCTCATTACCCTAAGTATATGTAAGAAGACACGAATGGTGTGAATATACTTTGTATACAATCAGAGATATGAAAAATTGTGCTCTATGTATGTAATATGAATTGTAATGCATTCTGCTGTCATATATAACAAATTAGAATAAAAAAAATAAATTTAAAAAAGACTGTTAAAGCAGATATAGGCAAGTGATAAAGATTGTTTAAAGAAAAACACCATTTTTTCCCCATAGTGAATTAACACAAACTCAGGAAATGAAAAACATTCAATTTGGTTCAGTAAAAAAAGAAACAGACATTACTATACACTGCAAGGATTCGTTCTTATGGAAGAAAGATCTGAGGCCTCTCTGACTTTCCTTTGTGTTTGGGCACTTGACAGAATAATTTCTTTGACCTTAATTTCCTTCTCTAATAGAAAATACAGAAAAGAAGAGGTAATGAGAGTGGAGAAAATATTAACAACTGACACCAGATTCTCGGGGAGAGAAAAATGTCCTCAGAAGTGTTAGTGACAGCAGGCACTGCCCTCCCTCACCCCAGGGCCTAGGTGTGAGCTGGGGCCACTGTTCTAAAGGAGCTGAAAGCTGTTCTTTGTGAGGCAAGGGGAGAAATGTTTTATTTGCCCTTAATGGAAGAGACAAAGTGGCAAACAGAAGCAGAGAGGGAAGGGAGGAGTGAGAGATGGGAAGCAGCCAGGGTACAAGAGGCTCCATGGTGGTGAGGGATTCTGCATTTTACGAATTTGATGACGCCAATTGTTTGCTCTAAAGTTATTCTCTTTTCCTCTCCACTCTTTGCAGGAAATCTTCACTAAAGCTCGCTAAACCCACAAATATTTGCTGCCGGTGACTTTTGATTGTAATTTTTGAGGAAACTGGAAAAAGAGCCCTAGGATATGTAAAGATTGCCTTGGTGTAAAGTGGATTCTGATGACAGGAATGAGTGTCATGGTGCAAGCCATTCCCCACCCTCTTATCCTCAAACCTCACTCTGCTAGAACTGGTGGCAGGGCTTTGATCACCTGCAGGCTGTGCAATGGGCAAGAAGACGTCTATGCCAGGCATAGTTCTAAGAACCAGGAAGAAAGGAATGTAAGACAGCATTTACATTCCTGTAAGAGAAACAGATACTAAGCAGACATAAATAATAAATGTGATCTAATGTTCTGTTATCCCCATTGTTATGAAGAAAAATCAGGCAGGAGAAAAAAATGCAGAAGAGAGTAGAAATTGATGGGGTGAGAGTCAGTGTCTCTCTGAGGAAGAAAGCCTTTAGGCATGGACAGTAAGGTCCAAGTTCCTGCAATGGAAACTACCTGATGTTTTTAAGAGAAAGATCTGTAAGACAGTATGCTGAGGTGAGGGACAAGGGGAAGGATAGTGGGAGGTGAAACCAGACTGGAAGTCAAAGGCCAGGTCACCTAGGGCCCAGGAGGCAGAGACTGGCCATTGGGTCTTATTCTGAAAGGCATTGCAGAGATGAGTGATAGGATTTGATTTACTGTCCTAAAAGAGCACTCTAGTGTTGTGTGGAGAAGGGGTTATAACAGACATGCATAGAAGCAGAAGAATCAGATAAAAGGATAAAATGATGGGGTTTAGTATGGATTAGGTTGTGCATAGAGGTGATATGGTGGAAGGGGGTACATTTTGAAGGAGAAACTGACATGATTTGTAGATAAATTAGGTATGAGATATGGGAGAAAGAAAATAATAAAAATGACACATAGGTTTCTTTGCTTTATTCTTTTAAAGAATAATTTATGGTTGTAATTACAATTATAGAAGTGACACATGTTCACTATGGAACAGTTTAAAACTGCAGGGCTAGGGCAGAGAGTAGCTTAGTGGTACAGCACTTGTTCAGCATGCATGAGGTCCTGGGTTCAATTCCCAGTACCCAAAATGAAGAAAAGAGAAGAAAAGAAAATTTAAAGCATGCAAAGAAAAAAAATTAAAGAGAAAAATAAACTATAGTACTCATAATCCCAGTATGTAGAGGTACTTTAGTTTACAACATTACATGTGTGTATGTGTATATGTGTGTGTATGCATAAATATATTTGAATAAATGGATACTCCCAATTTTCTAACTAATGTAATGTAATAGAAAATAAAAATAACATTGACTATATTATTTTATAAACTGTTTTTGTAAAGCATTTTATTTTTAACAAATTGTAGACTTAAAAAAATTAAAGCTCATTGCAGAAATACTAGAGGTAGTATGTACTTCTCACCTATCTTCCCTGAACATCACCATCTTATGTAATATAATTATCAAAACTAGGAAGGTAATGTTCACACAGTCTTATAAACCAAACTCCAAATGTTACTCAAATTTTATTAAGTCTTTTACATTAATTCCCCTTTTCTGTTTCAGGCTCCCACATTCCATTCCATTGTTATTTTTTCTTAAACTTCCCTAAATATGAGAGTTCTTCAGTCTTTCTTTATCTTTTGTAACTGTGGCACTTAAAAAATACTGTTAAATGAAGTAGAGTATATGCATGAATGAAATTATCGCTGTAAAACATATTATCTTGTGCAATTAATATGTACTAATAATTATAGTAAAAACATCTGCTTAGGAAAGTGAAAAAAATGCTAACTGGTTATTTGTAAATATTCCTCAATTTGGGGGTTGGTTTGAAGTTTTCCCAAGATCAAAATGTGGTTGTGGGTTTCTGGCAAGAATGCACAGAGGTGATATTGCGTTTTTCCTAACACATCATATCCATGGGTTTATGACATTTGACCTACCTTATTGCCTGTGATGCTGACCTTAAATACATGGTGGAGCTGGTTTTCTTCACTGTAAAGTTAATATTTTTCCCTTAGTAGTTAAAATATACTCTGAGACAAAGAAAATTCTATTTTTCCTCAGACTTTCACCCAGTAATTTCATAATCCATCACTAGATAATATCTGAAAAAATTATTATTATGATATTTCTCTAGTTTACTACTCTGATTTTATATTTTCATCTTTCCTTCTATATTTTCTAATTGAATTCTTTGGTAAGGAAGAGCTCTTGCTTCTCCTTTATTTGTTTATTTATTTGATTATTTCCTCATATCAGAATGGATTCATGGATATTTACATTAGCATAAGGGTTAAAATCTAATCCTATCATTTTTCCAAAACTTATTGAAGTATAATTGACAATAATATATATTTAAAATGTACAATAAAATGGTTTTATATATAGATGCATAGTAAAAATTACTATAATCAAGCTAACTAACATATTCATCACCTCACATAGTTAAGTGTGTGTGTGTGTGTGTGTGTGTGTGCACGCGCGTGCGTGCGCACAGTGAGTATACTTAAGATCTACTTTCTAAGAAAATTTTAAGTATATAATAATTTATCATTAGCTATTGTCACCAATTAAATCTCCATGACTTATTGGCCTTGTAACATAAGTTTTTACTCTTTGATCAAAATTCCTCCCATTTCCCCCACTCCCAAGTTTCTAACAATTATTGTTCTACTTTCTGTTTCAATGAGTTCAGCTTCCTCGGGTCCCACATGTATGCCGTCATAATTAAGTTGTTATCAGCCTAAAATAGACAGTTAAAATTGTACTTTATGCAAGTCAAGCTGATGAAATCCACCAAACAAAAACTTATGGTAGATACATAAAAGATGAAGAGAATCAAACGTATTACTATAGAAAATGATCAAACCACAAAGGAAGACAGCAAGATAGGTAGGAAAGAATAAAGGATTGATAAAATACCCCCCCTCTTTTATTAAAGACATGATTTACATCTTTTTATGCTGCATATTAATTAAATTATTGCAGCTATGGTTATTTTAATATTTTTGTCTTGTAACTTTTACACTAGTGTTATGTTATTTACACAACAATATTGCAGTATTGTATATATTATATATACTCTGAACGTGAATATATACTTACCTTTTCCAGTGAACTTTATATTTCCATATTTTTTCACTTTACTAAGTAGAGGGTTTTGGGTTTGTTTGTAGTTTTATTTTGGTGGTACTGGGCATTGAACCCAGGAGCATTCTAATCCCTAGCCTTTTTAAAATTTTTATTTTGTGACAGGATCTCACTGTGTTTTCCATGTGAACCTCAAGCTCCTGTCTCAACCTCCCAAGTAGCTGGAATTGTAGGCATATGTGCCAGTAGGCTTGGCCAATTAGAATATTTTGTTTCAGCTTGAAGAACTCCTTTTAATATTTCTCATAGGGAAGGTCTGGTGATGAAGAACTCCTACAGGTTTTGCTTCTCTGTGAAAGTTTTTACCTGTCCTTCATTACTGAAGGACAGATTTACTGGAGGAGATACTCTTGGCTGGCAGTTTTTTTTTTTCTTTCAGTTCTTTGAATATATCATCCAATGTCCCCCTGCCCTGTAAGAGTTCTGCTGGGGAATCAACTGATAGTCTAATGAAGATTCCCTTATCTGCAACAAAGCCTCTTTTCTCCAACTGCTTTCAAAACTCTCTGATTTTGACAGTTTGATTATAATGTGTCTCAGCAAAGTCTTTTTACATTCTGAATCTGTTTGGATACTTTTGAGCTTCATGTATGTACATATCCATATCTCTCCCCAGATTTGCAAAATTCTCAGCCATTATTTCTTTCAATAAATTTTCTGCACAGTTCTTTCTTTTCTCCTTTAATGATTCCCATAATGTGAATGTTACATATTTTATTGATGTCTTGTAAATTTCATAGGCTTTCTTCATTTGTCATTTTTTTTCCTCTTCTGGTTTTTAACCTTAAAATAATCTCTTCAAGTTCACAGATTAGGTGACTTCCTTCTCCCCATCCTGCAGAGTTGAGTCAGATCTCTGTGTGAGGCACACTTGCTGTCCCTGGGAATGTGCTCAGGGAGCAGGGCTGGGGGAGAGGAAGCACACAGAGTATTTTGGGTACCAGTGGGCCAACTGAGGAAGGGTCCACAGACAAGGTGTCTCAGACTGCTCATAGGTAGTCTTCCAGGTGGAGTACACAGAGTCGTCAGTAGAGTCCAAGGCCTTTCTTCTCTGTTCCCAGACTCTCCCAACCTCTCAGCTGTGTTTATTATCTCAGTATTCTGGGTGAAGTGAGAAAAAAGTGTGCTTTGTAAGCAGTGTCTCACATATATCTGGAGGGTCTGGGTTCTCACTATACTCTCATTTAACCCTTTAAGGTGAATCTTGGGACAAGGGAATCTTTCTTGGCACTTAGTTATGATGCCTTGGAAGAGTGATGAAGTAGAACTGTTCTTACTCCCTTCAATTAATTTATTTTTTTTTAAATTTCTCTGACAGAGTGCTGGAAATTCTCTACTATACTTTTAGTCCCCCATTGAGGTCCTCTCATCTGTGAGTTGCTGTCAAAATTGATGCTTCAATTGTGAGTGAATGACAACGGAGAGCTCCTCGTCTGGCATCTTGCTGATGTCATGCTATTATTATTTATTTCATTGATCAAATTATTTCAAGTTTGGCTATTATGAACTCCTTTAGGTTGAACCTGTTTTTAAAAGAGTTTGGACTACTTTTTAAAATTGTGAAATACTCATAAATACCAAACTAACTTACATACATAGCATATAAGATATGAAAATAACAAAATACTGAAAGTTTCTGTATCAAACTCTTAAGTTTTTAATCTTGGCAATTGAGTGAGAATATTCAAAAATGGGAAAGGTAAATGATCTCAGACATGTTAAGTCTGAGACGCTTGGCAGACAAACAGTGAAGGATGGAAGAAAGAGTTGAATGTGCAAAACTGGCGCTCAAGAAAGTGGTCAAGGTTAGTCAGTAAAACTGAGAGTTTCAGGCTGGGATCTGGGTTTTGGAAAAAGGAAAAAATATCATGCACAATCCCTCCACTCAAATATTAATTCTATTAATTAACATTTTTTTTGAGTAGTTCCTTCCAGTTCATGTTTTCACATGGTTAAGATACACTATGTGTAATTTTTTGTTCCTTTTTGCCTCACTTAACATTGTAATATAAAAGTCTTCAAATATTTTATAATATTCAAACATATTCAAAAAATTTACCCCTTGGTGTCTTGGTTTCAGATTCTTTTTTCTAAGTTTTCTTGGCTCTTTATGGGTCTTTTTAGTAACCAATCTTAGGGTTATTGTTATTTTTTTTCTTTTCATACCTCCATATGTTCTTCTGTATAGCTTGGACTATTGAATAGACACATTTTTCTAAAAAAAATACATGGTTTATAGAATTCACACCTTGAGGGCTATTTATCCTTAAGAACCATTATCTTATATTTCTTTGTTCCTTTTTAAAGTTTTTTAAATTAATTTTTTCTTGAGATTGTCTTTTTTCTTTGAGCTATTCTAGATATTAATAAGAGAAGTATTAGATATAATTGCAATACAAAGCAAACATTTTTTAAATCTCATGAAGTAAGAGACAGAATAAAAGAAAAATCAGGCATCCGTACTGGTGGGATGGGGCAGGAGGGGGAGTTACATAACGCAGATGTATCAGGGACACTTTTTCTCTTGAAAACCTTAAATTTTTGTTCTGTGAAATTCAAATAATAAACTTTGAAAAATCAAACAGCAACAATAAACCATGACAACAACAAAATCTAAAATCATTCTTCCGAAAGTGTAGGCCAGAAAATAAATGACACTCTGGGAAAGCAGTTGCTTTTATCCAAGCGCTCTGACAGCTGACAAACAAGATCACATCAATAAGATACAGAAAAGTATTCATGTGAATAGTAATAATAAAAAAGTAGGAGTGGCAATATTAATATCAGATGAAGTGGATTATAGAGTGAAGGAAATTAGTATGGACATGGAGGAACATTACATAATGATGAAAGAATCAATTCACCATTAAATATGTATGCAGCAACAACAGAACTTCAAAATACACGAAGCACAGACTGATAGAGCAGAAAGAAGAGCAAATGTGGAATGTAAATAGCTGTTTTTGAATTTTTATTGCTATTAGAAAATAGTGCAGTAATAATAAATTGCCATGCCTTCTGTGGCCATGGAAAACTTAACAAGACTTCAGCCTCCTTGTCTGAATAAATACACCAGCACTTAAGGCTTGAACTAGATAAGCAATGGAATACACCTACCCCAAGTGTTACCCAATCTTTTCCTATAGCCATATCAGATATTGCCAATTTTCACCTTTCACTTATTTTCCAAGCTTTTATGGTATACTTACTTTGTGGTGATACAATGTACCTAAAAGGACATAGGATAAGTCCTGTGAACATATTTAGCAAGAAGAATAGAACAAAGAGGTAAAGAGGATCCTACAGGATCACCACAAATAGACAAGAAGTGCCTGAGGACCAGAAGGCATTAAGAACTGGTAAATATGGAAGAGCGTCCACCTGGGGAATGAGACAGACATTATTACCCGATATACGTGTGTGATTATGCTATGGTGTGACTCTATACCATAGCCAGAGGAAGGAGAAGTTGTGCTCCATTTGTGTACAATGTGTCTAAATGCATTCTACTGTCATATAAAACTAATTAGAACAAATTTTTTTTTTAA